GGTAACTGTATACTAACATCTCAATTAAATTTTCACTAGTAATACCACTAGAGGTCAAATTATTTCCGGAAAAAATTTCCTGATATTAATTTGACCTCGCGTGGTATTCGGTAATTATGGTTGAAAATTAAAGATTTTTAAAATTTATTTTTCGTTTCTCAACAATGCAAATTATTTTCTCCAAGTCACCAGTGAAACATAAAAGGTGTTGTCGCCTTGATTGTTGAGTTGTCATGGTAACTAAGTGAGACCCTAACCTCGAATATAATTTCAGTTTTGAAGTTGTCAAGCGGCCCGACGTAAAAAAATGTTTCGCTACAATTATTTAGGCCTTCAGATTGCTTATTTCTACTCATTGTAGTTGCATGGGAATACCATTTGAAAATAGAAAATAGTATATTCTTTAATTTTACGTAAGTTTTGAATAACTACAAGTGGTAGAAAATTGTTTTTCTGCGTTTTTATTAACATGCGTTATGAGCGCTTTAAAATGGTATGAAATTCATAACCAGCGTCAGCAAGCATCAATCGTAGGAGGCTGTGATCATTGTATTTTGACAGTTCAAAACATTAAATAACTCGCGTTTTGTTGCGATAAAGAATATTGCACAGCAAGTAAAACCAACAAAATTACCTATTTGTTTAAAAATGAATCGATTTGAAAATCATACGCTATGCAAAATATGCGTGAAATTGTCTGATGTAATGATCAATCATTGCACCATGACTTACTTACTCGGATTAATAAAGGATTGTGGCTCCAACTTGAAAAACGAAAATTTGTTCCGAATTGTCCACGAATATTTGCACCTAAACTACGCAAAATTCAAAGTGCTGAATGGGAAAAAGGTGAATAAATTAGTGTCTAAATATTATATATATTTTATTAGACATAGACACATAATTCAAAGCATCCAAAGTCCTGCATTTTCGCCATTAAGAAAAAAAGAAGTGGCCGAAGAATATAGAAAACACCTTAGCATTGTAACTAAAATGTATCAAAACTAAACCTATTATGTGAACAAATAAAAACCAGTCTGTCAAAAATGGTCTGTTATTGTAAACGTCAAAAAATTTCCAGTATAATTCGCTGTTGGGTACCCCACGAGAAAAAAATTTCCACTAAAATACCTCCGTTGCCATGGTGATCTGTTAAAAACACGTATTTTGATTGGTTCAAAATTACAGGTGTGGAATTTTCAAGTTAATATCATTTTATCTTACAATACATGTAAGTTATTCAGGAATTTTTATCATTGTTAGGTTTATTTTCGTTACAGAATTTTTTTTTTTTTCGATTTTTCGATTTTTTGATTTTTTGATTTTTCGATTTTTCAATTTTTCGATTTTTCGATTTTTCGATTTTTCGATTTTTCAATTTTTCGATTTTTCGATTTTTCGATTCTTCGATTTTTCGATTTTTCGATTTTTCGATTTTTCGATTTTTCGATTTTTCGATTTTTTGATTTTTCGATTTTTCGATTTTTCGATTTTTCGATTTTTCGATTTTTCGATTTTTCGATTTTTCGATTTTTCGATTTTTCGATTTTTCGATTTTTCGATTTTTCGATTTTTCGATTTTTCGATTTTTCGATTTTTCGATTTTTCGATTTTTCGATTTTTCGATTTTTCGATTTTTCGATTTTTCGATTTTCTTTTATTGAATAAATGAGAAGTTAATATTGTTTAACGCCGCGCCGCTGTGCCGGTCGGAGTGGGGGGTGTTAGGTTTATTTTCGCTCAAAGCCCGCTTAAAAATAGTTAAAAAAAAAATCGGCGTGAAAATAATACTTTAAGTTTTAAAAGTGTACCAATTTTGTCACTGCAAATTGACTTTTTTACTGCGTTGCCAGATTTATCTTTGCACGGCTAGAAAGTCAAATCAGTAATGCTTAAACACTATAAATTAACGAAATATCCTTTACATAACCTTCAAATAAAACTATCAACCGTTTAAAACTTAAAACAGACGCACATACAAGACAGAGTTTGTGTCTCACAAATTTGATATACTAAAGGAATTTTATTTTTTTTTTGAGAAATATATATGCATAGGTATACATATAATATATTGAGACCATAGAGATAGTGAGAAAGGGCTAGATGATAGAAAATTTTGAAGGCTTATAGAAACAATAGCAATGTAGTAACACAGTTACATATCTCAGTATTTTACTGTAAGTTTTCTCACTTACAATTTTTATTTTCGAGGCATTTAATGAACTTATTACTTAAGGTTTGATTGAAATAAGCCTTCCCAGTATGTTTACGAAAATTATGCCGACGTTATGGACTTTTATTAATTATTTATTTTCTCAATAGTTGCCTCTTATACAATGTGCTCATTAAAATATCGAATGAAAAGATTCCTGATAACTATTTATGTCTAATAAAGCTAGTTAACGAACTCCAAATTCCTTCATCAAATACTTCAAAATTATAATACCCATTTATGTAATACAGAGTTAATGCAATTCTTAGGCATGCGCGTGCTTAAAAAGGAGCGATGGGTAATTTAATAAGAGATTTATGAAGAATAGAAACATGTTACAGTTCATCAAATTTCTAGAGGTGTTCGA